TCCGGGGCAAGCTTGTGGTCGCCCTCGAAGGTGATAGCTTCGGCTCCTCGTGGGACTTCGTCGATCTCCTCAACGGTTGTCTTCTGTCCTTCGACCATGTAGGACTGGAACTCCTTGACAGGGAGATCAATGTTCTCCCAGGGCACATGATGGTAGTCGTTGAAGCGTAGGACGTGGGGTTCATCTTCTCTCGTTGAGTACCTGCCCTCGAACTTGTAGTAGAAGGAGACGAAGTCTTGTTGCACCCAAAAGGGATCACCACGTTCTGCCTCAAACACCACGTTCTTCCCAAGCTCTATTGCCTCTTGGAGAGCTCCACCGATTTCCGGAAGGAATGCGGACACAGCGGGGCCATGCACCCACACCACAGCGGGCTTGAAGTATTCAATCGTTCCTGACACCTCACTCCCATTCATCGTTCCATCTTCTCGAGTAAGTAGAGGCTCTGCAGTGTCGAAACCCATGTCTCCGACCTCCACAGTTTTAGAAAACCCCCCAATCTCGAAAAGGCTCACAGCCTCGCGACCTCTGGACAAGGGGAAGAACTCGGTGGACCAATTGAAAGCAGCAGCCGAGCACCAGCTGGTCAGAGCAACGAGCCTCGTTACATTCTTCCACAACGACTTCCTGGTGCTCTTCCTGGGCCTGTCTGTGCGCGGAAAGGAGTGTGCTTCACCCTGAGAGGCATCTCCAGGTAGAGGTAGTCCACGAAGAGGAAAACGCAGATCTCGGAGTTCATCTCGAAGTCCGACAGAGCTCTTTGCAAATCCCCTTGTGGTGAAGCACGACAAAGTCCATCGCTCGCCTACCCAAGGCTGGGTTGCGTGTCGGACCTTCTCGTCAAAGGAATAGGGGTTCATACGAGTGTTCACGAGGTGCCCCTCAATCTCCTTTCCGTGAGGATCGCTTCGAAACACGGGACAAGAAGCATCTTCCTGCACGGGCTTCCCTTCAACCCACAGTTCGCCGCCGGAAAAGGGTCCGAAGGTCACGGTCGTCGCCAAGGTGTTAGTCAAGTTGTGGACGTCGGCATGGACCTGGGTAGCCGCGTTCCGGAAGAGCACGAAAGACGACCATGCCCCCCGGTGCCTTGTCCTCATGAAGGAGTTGATGTACTTGGTGGTCCACGGCAAAGCCCGACTTCTCCGAGAAATCCCAATGAAGCTCCCGTACGTGTACATGCCACCAAGGAAGATACCGTAGACTTCCTTGCCTCCACGGTTGGTGGCCTTGTCGGTCTTGGTGTAGCGCAGGGGGATCTTCTCGGCAAGCTGGAGAAGGTCGTCATACTCAAAGTGCTTGTTTCGGAGCTTCTCTTTGGCGAGGTCTTCACAGCGACTGCACCGGGCTCGGAGGGTTTCTCTCTTCTCCTCATCAATAGGACCAGAGGAAGACTCCATCACCTCGGGGGTCTCACGCACGCTGTCATCTTTGCTGCCTCCAAGGTTCATATCTCCAGCTTCAGCGACGTACACATACTCATGGAGGAAGTCGTCGCGGTCCTCGGCAAAGTCCTCTTCCCGAGGAACTGGGCTCTGACTTCCTGTGAACTGAATGTCCTCACCCTCTTCACACTCGTGGAACTCGCCCTCGTCGTCATTCAGGTAGCACTCCTTCGCCCCATCCTTCACTGTCCCTCCCGTGGCATCAGTCCATGGCGATCCCGAAGAATGGCAATCCTTTCCTCCAGGTGTTGCAGCTCGTCGGATATCTCCTCGGGCACGTCCTGGTCCATCCGGCTGGGAACCGAACTCGCCACTGATCCCGGTCCTCGTCGTCTCGGCGGCGTTCTTGTGGAAGGAGATGGGGGAGCCGCCTTCGATGTCGTCATCATGGTGAGGTCGTTGGCGTAGGTCGTCACGAAGGCCCACGAGCTCCCGGCGGTCGAGTCCTCCACATACGGGGTCACTGCATTCGCCTCTGGATCGTGGTACCCCGGGGTCGCAGTGGGATTCCACCGGTGCATCTCGCTCTTCCACCAGTTGGCGTAGGCCACCAGCTCCTCGGATGGGCTGTCGTTCGTCTCCACCTCCTTCACCGCCCAATTCCGGTAACTCGGAGGGGTTTCCTTGTACATGAGCCCCTTGTATCTCCCGAAGGGCATGAGACTCTGGGGCCCCTCCCCACCCTGGCCCCGGAGAAGGCGCAGCAAAGCCCCTTTCGTCGGATAGGCTGGAATGAGGAGTCCAGCTTCCATCGCCCGCTCCTTCAGTTGCTCCAAGTTCAGGTTCTGCAGCCCGGCGAGGTCCGTAGAGGTTCCCTTGTTCCTGTCCTCTTGGATCGCAGAACGAAGCTCCACCACGCTCCACTTCTCGTGGACCAGGAGATTCCGGGCACGGGCCTCCGCCAGCAATTCTGCTTTCGTGAACTCGGTGATGGTCTTCGGGCGATTCACCATGGGCGAGGTGAGGAGGTCCTTGCGAGACGCCATGGGGGGTCGAAGGCAAAGTACGCGAGAATGAAGACATGTGCTTTCTGCGAGAGAAAACGCTCCGGCCGATCCATAACATTGGGAAAGCACTGTCATCTTGGGGAGTGTCCCATGTTCCATGCACTGCGGGGAAAGCTCGATGGTTCTTGCAAGCCACTCCGAAGGTCGAACGTACCGATCCCAAGGTCCTGAGAAGAAGGTCCTTATGTTGAAGATTTTGGGTGGCCCAATGCAGCGGACTGAAAAATGATCTCCTAGGAATGACATGGACTCGGACCAGGTAATCGGCATCCTCAAGCCAGAAATCGTTCGTGATGTTGCTGTTAGACCACCATGCTGCAAAGGTTTCGGGGGAAAAATTCTCATCGAGGAGCATTCCCTTAGTGACAGCGTTGATCTTTTTGGGGTAGAACAAGGCGGTGAAGGACTTATCGCAAGAAGTACTCGGAGATAGGGAAGCAGTGTCGTCGTGGAGCCTGGAGGCCTCATCGGAATCCACCATCCAGCTAGTACTGAGAGTCCCGAAACACTTTGCAACCTCAGTGAATTCCTGACCCCCGCCGCAAAGAAGTCCCCTTCCCCCACTCTCATCGGACATGTGGTCAATATATTGCTCCCCGTGCGAAAGGATCTGGAGCTCGTTATCCTCCCACTCAGCACTGCTGGCTCGGTGGGGCGGAACAGAGATGGGAAAGATGGGGAAAGCAGGGTGACCCGTATCTGTGTTGGTCAGCTGCATGTCCCGAACATCAAGAGCGCGAAAGGTGGCCCGGTTCTCACTGACGTCGATGACCATCCCCATCTTCGCCATGGCCCCTCTGGAGATCAAGAGGGGGACCTCACCATTGACCACGGCGACCTTGAGAGCCAACTTGTGGGAACCCAGCCTGAACCCCACCAACACTCCATAGTTGGCCACGAAGACCTTTGAGGCACCGAACTTGAAGGCTTCCTTGCACGGAAGGAAATGGGGCTCTCCTCCATTCTTACGGATCTCGGCGAGGTAGGCATCCATCCACCCAGCCCCAGCGACGGACCGGGCGCAGGCGGTGTCCGTGATGCCCACGAGCTGGTAGCCCGACTTGTCTGAGATGTCCCAAGTGACGTGGACCACATGGCAGGGAAAGTTGGTCTTGGCACCTTCCTTACCTCCTTGGCCTCCAGTTCCGCCAGTCGTAGCCGAGGTAGAAGACGGATTTCCACCGCCCGAAGAGCGATTCAAAGGGCACACACTGTCGAGATGCCAGTGCCCCCTGCGTTTACATCCTGAGCAAAAACTGCGGGCCTTTGCTGCCTGCAGCTTCTCGGCAGCAAGGCGTTTCAGGCTTTCTGCATCACTGCCCCGGAGCTTTGCCGTCTCCCTGTAGCGCTGTTTGGCCGTCTCATGGGTGAGGAAAGCCTGGTAAAGGTCATTTGCCACCTCCTCGGGGATCGGACTCTCTCCGCCGTCATCATCATCTCCAGCGAAGTCGCCAGCGTAGGAGCCTTCCTCAAAGTCGGCGACGTTCGCACCATAGGGCTTCTTGACGGGCCATTCCTTCTTAGGATTCTTGCCTCCGCTTTCCCATGGTTTCCGCATACCCCTGTGGTGGACGATCGCCGCCTGCTGCAAGTCCTTGAGGGAGTACTTGTTGCCGACGGAGGCGAGAAGGTTGAGCTCCGCCTGCTCTTCCAGCCCCATCCTATCCACGAAGACCCAAGCCGCCGCCACATCTGGGAGCTGACATCCAGCTTCCGAAAGCCTGGAGAAAGCCCGGTCGAAGTCCGCCATGTAGTCTCTCACCGACTGGTTCTGCTTGCGACGGAGCTTCCTGAAGAACTCCGAAAGGCTCCTCCCCACTTGGGTGACCTGGACATCCAGGTACCGATCTTGGATCCACGAGATCAGGTAATCGACCCCGTCATCGCTGCCCAGTCGGTTGACATCGAGTCGTTCTGAGTCCACCCAAGCACGGTCAGTGAGGTGTTGGTAGAGGGTAAGGCCTTGCTGGTCCTTGGACATCCTTGTCATTCTCCTCCATGCCGCAACCTGTCGTAAGTAGGACCTCGCTGAGGTCCCCAGATCATCTGAGCCAGTGTCCAGACCCGAAAAGGAAGGAACGATCATACGTTCCGAAGGTCCTCTAGAAGACTCGTGGCCCCCGTTCCCGCCAGAGAGCCGGCGAGCTTCTGTTGAAGGTCCCCAACCGACAGGTACTCCACGATCGTCGCCTGGTGGAGCTCGAGAATCGCCGCACGAGTCGCGTCTCGCCCACTGATCTGAGTGCGACCCTTTGGAGTCCCTTTCCTGAAAACCGCCATCCATGGAACCAACTGATCCGGTAGAGGCGGATCCTTGTCCTCCATCCTTCTTCTGCTCATCATAGCCATCGTAGTAGCCCGAACTCCAGCCACCACGACCCCACTTCCAATCAGCTGCCCCCCACGAGCGGTTCCATTGACTGTCGGACCAATCATGGTCCCTCCAAGGCCCCCAAGAGGCCCCATCCGGCTGAACATCAGCCGCCTGCGAACGATCACCACGAGGTTGGGGGTTTGGTACATTGCCGGGAACATTCGCATCTCCGCCATGCCCTGGGCCTTGTGGAGAATCGTCACTAGGAGGCGGAACATCAGCCCACTCGGAGCGCGCATAAAAACTGGTCGGCACATCGAAAGCCATGGCACAGCAAGACTAAGTAGCGAAACCCTTGGAGCACTCAGTGCTCCGCTACCAATCTAAAACTAGAAGGAAGCAAACCCCTCCCCGGGACGGGCCTCCAGAAGCTGGCGCCGAGACTTTTCTCGCAACGCTCGATCCACATACTCGTGTGCCTGCGAGAGGGCATACTGGGGGTCAAAAGGGGGGAAGTTCCCGGAACCTTCAAGCTTTACACTAACCCCAACACCCTAAACCCTAAACCCTAGACCCTAAACCCTAAGCCCTAAACCCTAAACCCTAAACCCTCAACCAGGACAGCCCCGCGCTGCGTCTTCATCGACCTGGGCGCCGGCTCGGGCTTGGACCTGCAGGCATCCAAGGGTTTAGGGTTTAGGGTTTAGGGTTTAGGGTTTAGGGTTTGGGGGGTCCTAAGTGCCACACCCCAAAACCCTAAACCCCAAAACCCTAAACCCTAAACCCCTAACCCCTAAACCCTAAACCCTAAACCCTGAACCCTAAACCCTAAACCCTTAGCTTGGAAGGCTTGGGCCGAGAACAAGTTCGGCCCAGTGGCCAACTGCCCCAATGGCGATTGGGAGGCTATCCTCGTCGAGGCACCTTAGGGTTTAGGGTTTAGGGTTTAGGCTTAGGGTTTAGGGTTTAGGGTTAGGGTTTAGGATTTAGGGTTTAGGGTTTAGGGTTTAGGGTTTAGGATTTAGGGTTTAGAGTTTAGGGTTTAGAGTTTAGGGTTTAGGGTTCAGGGTTTAGGGGCTTTGACCTGGGGTGTTCAGGGTTTAGGGCCTGGGATTTAGGGAATGATGCTCAGAGACGGAACTGGGTTCGGACAGGGTAAACACAAGAAACCCTGAACCCGAAACCCTAAACCCTAAACCCTAAACTCTAAACCCCAAACCCTAAACCCTAAACCCTAAACCCTAAAAATGTTCGGGCACGGGCTGCTCTTGTGATACGAGACATCGTGCGCCGCGGGGAGACGGCGCCCATGCAGTTGCGGTGAGGGCACTGCCGGCAACCCTAAACCCTAAACCCTAAACCCTAAACCCTAAACCCTAAACCCTAAACCCAAAACCCAAAGACCCTAAACCCTAAGCAGTCACATCAAGGCAGCTCGTTAGTCACTCCAGGAGAATGCTCCCCAGGGTTTAGGGTTTAGGGTTTAGGGTTGAGAGTTGAGGGTTGAGGGTTGAGGGTTTAGGGTTGAGGGTTTAGGGTTCAGGGTTTAGGGTTTAGAGTTGAGGGTTCTCCATCATCACTTTCTTTGTTCCTGCAAAAGGCCAACCCAATCTTCGCAGAGACGCTGAACGGAGTCGCGCAGAAGTTCGCCGGCAAGGTGCGGGAAAGTTGCTTGCCACTGCGACCCTGCTTTCTGTACATGCCCATGCCTGGACATGTCATGGGGATATTAGGGGTACCTTCTTAGGGTATTTGAGGGTCTAGATTAAGGGTCCTTTGTTATCCCCCGTGTACGCGACACTTGCTAGAGAGTCAGGTGCAGGTGAACGCTTCTCGAGCTGCTTACATGTGCGAGGCAAAGACCGACCGGTGCTCAGTGAAGACTGGCTGGTTCTTAGTAGGGAATTTTAGGGTTCAGGGTTTAGGGTTTAGTGTTTAGGGAATGAGGAGATTAGGGCCCTATATGTACCCTTTAAGGGAAATGAGGGTAGGTTACTCTTGGGTCTAGTAGCTCTATGCCTCCCGAACTTGTGGCTCCAATTCTGTCGTAGGGTCGACATATCAACCCTAGAAAATTGGCATGTTCCCCCTTATACTAGCAGTCCTCAATAGGGATTATAGTACCCCCCCATTATTTTAATCCCTAGTAGGGTTTAGGGTTTAGGTTTTAGGGTTTAGGGTTTAGGGTTTAGGGTTTAGGGTACCCCTTACTATAATCCCTACTAGGGACTGTTAGTATCAGGGGGAGCATCCCAACGAGAAAGGTCATTTCCCCAAGGGTGGGGTCGAGCAGGAGAGCCCCTTGTTAGGGTTTAGGGTTTAGGGTTTAGGGTTTGTTAAACCCTAAACCCTAAACCCTAAACCGTGGGAGCCTCTTCTTCTCAGGCCTTCTACATCAACACCAACGAGCAGCAGCTGAAGAAGGCTTCTTCCGTCTCTGCCGGTTTCCAGGAGGCGGGAATGAAGGGATGAAGGCTCGTGCCCCTAAGGTTGTGCCCCTAAAGGTTCCCCTAAGTATACTCCTAATGTGGCCCTTATGTTCCCTTAAAGATCCCTAAAAAGGGCCCCCAAAACCCAAGGGTACAACCTCAAGCGTCCAAGGTAGAGCCCCTGAAGGGAAACCTGAGAGCAAAAGGACGACGGATCCAAAGCTGTCAGGCCCGTATTTTTTCGGCGCCTGAAACTGCAAGTAGCGCGCTATCAAAGAGATCCTAAACCGCAAACCCTAAACCCTAAACCCTAAACCCTAAACCCTAAACCCTAAACCCTAAACCCTAAACCCTAAACCCTAAACCCTAAACCCCCAAGAGCCGCAGAAACTGGAAGAGCCAAGTCCACGAGCCCGCTCAGACCTGAAGTAGGTAGGCCCTTTGGGACATTTTACATTTTTCCCCTATCGGGTTTAAGAAGCCTAAGCCCTAAACCCTAAACCCTAAACCCTAAACCCTAAACCCTAAAGCCGGTTTTTGTTTCAGAGGGTCTTCAGGGCCATCCTTTGGGATCTTCACCTCTTATACTGCTGTAAAGGGTCCTTAATGGGGATTAATAATCAGGGGGTACTATACTCTCTAGTGTTTAGGGTTTAGGGTTTAGGGTTTAGGGTTTAGGGTTTAGGGTTTAGGGGTACCTTACTGTAACTTTAGATCCTTAGCCTTTTTGGGTTTCTTGGGCTTCTTAATTTATAACGAACCCAGTAAGTGCAGCCAAGTATTAACCCCTCTCAGTATAAGGGGGGCGGGATACGATGGTCCCTTTTAAGGACTGTAAGGGGTGTACTATAATCCCTTTTAAGGACTAGTATAAGGGGAACATCCCAAGCCATCCCAATAACTACGATTCCTTCAAGAACCCCCATTTTTCTTACAAAACCTTCTATTACCCTTATAAGGAAGAATATTTTTTAATTTTTTAGGGGTTCTTAAGCAATGCTTACCCTTAAACCCTGAAGCCTCAAGACCCCAAAGCGATGTGACGAAGGCTTCGGTGCTGGGCACCCAGCTCTCGAAAGTCGAGGTGCGGAAGGGAGTTCGTTTGGGTCTAGGGTTAAGGGGTTTTAGGGGTTTAGGGGTTTAGGGCTTAGGGTTTAGGGTTTAGGGTTTAGGGTTTAGGGTTTGGCGGTTGGGGGTTTGGGGGTTTGGGGTTTGGGTTTGGGTTTGGGTACTTCTTTTTGGTGAATAGTTGTTCATCAGATACTTTTAAGCGACGATATGGAATTGCATGCGCAAGCGCTTACTTGAGCTTCCTATGGCACAGGGCTCGATGTTCAAGGGATGCGCACACATTCCGACGCGTTTGCCTTGATCTAATGGTCCTTCCGGAAACGTCATTTAGGGTGCCTCTGGGTTTATAGGGGACAGACATGGGCCATTTTGCGCCGGACAGTTTTGATCAAGTACCATGCATCATGCGTGAGCTGCCTATTGCTGCCCCTAAACTTAGAGGTAGGTGGACATGCCTTCTAAACATAAGAATGGACAAATGAGCAAAAGTAAACAACTGTCGATATGTATGGAGAGAGATATACAACTCTATGTGTTTTTTTTTCTGGAGCCCTTGTCTCTTCGTAAGCTATTCCACCTATACCCCAAACCCTAAACCCTAAGCCCTTAATGCCTTAATCCCTAAATCCCTAAATCCCTAAACCCTGAACCCTAAACCCTAAACCCTAAACCCTAAACCTAAACCCTGCGTTTGAGCCTTGCTATTGGCAGCTTCCTCGGCAGGTCGATACGATGAACGTGAATCGCCTCCTGACGGAGCATACGATTCCAGGCAGGGCTGCAGCTCCTAGTGAACTGGCTGTCCAGAGGGTTTAGGGTTTAGGGTTTAGGGTTTAGGGTTTAGGGTTTAGGGTTTAGGGTTTAGGGACCCTAAACCCCAGACCCCAGGCCCAAAGTAGAGAGTTTTGTCCAGCAGGCGACTGGGTCATGATGAAGATGGACGTGGAAGGTGCCGAGCTGCTGCCCTGGATCTCTCGTGATGAGGGCTTAGGGTTTAGGGTTTAGGCTTTAGGGTTTAGGGTTTAGGGTTTAGGGTTCAGGGAGTTAGATTTAGGATATAAGTCCTAACGGGGTATCTGGCCCTAAGCCCTACATGTAGGTTCATGGGTAGCTTGAAGCAGGGTTATCAGCCTGGCAACCCTTCTTATAACCCTATGTAGGGTACTTATAACCCTACTTATATCTACCCATGAACCTCGAAGCAAACTTTAAACCTTAAACACCCTCCACTGAAGACCCAAGTGTTAAGCCAAAGCTTTTGCTTGATCTTTCGGGGGAAAGAAGAGAGGCGCACGGGTCGGTTGATTGGCGGCTTGCAGGGAATCCTGCGCATGACGTCCAAAAGGGTGAACACCTAAGCCCAAAGCTTAAAACCCTAAGCCCTGAACCCTGAACCCTGCACCCTAAACCCTAAACCCTAAACCCTAAACCCTAAACCCTTAACCCACCCCTCTAGCTTGTAAGTCACTCCTAAGCCCCGAAACCCGGAACCCAGGTTCGACATCATCCCTTGCATGGCCGAGTCACCTGCTGGCAGCTTGGTGGATAGGCGCGGGGACGTCGCGCGCGGTTTCAGAGTTCAGGATTTACGGTAGGGTTTAGGGTTTAGGGTTTAGGGTTTAGGGTTTAGGGTTTAGGGCTTAAGGTTCAGGGTTCAGGGTTCAGGGTTTAGGGTTTAGGTTTTCGGATGGATGTTGCGATGGCTGGAGATTAGGGCTTTTGTACCGGGAAGGACTTTGTCTGAGTTTGGCTTAGGGTTTAGGGTTTAGGTTTCAGGGTTTAGGGTTTAGGGTTGAGGGTTGAGGGTTTAGGGTTTAGGGTTTAGGGTATAGGGTAGCTGCGTTCTTGTCTATTCAAATGGCACCTCTGGTCAGCACTCCGGGGAACGGCTGAGCCTCCCCAAGGTAGGGTTCAGGGTTTAGGGTTTAGGGTTTAGGGTTTAGGGTTTAGGGTTTAGGGTTTAGGGTTTAGGGTTTAGGGTCTAGGGTTTAGGGTTTAGGGTTTGGGTGTCGGGTGTAGGGTTTAGGGTTTATCTGAGGGTAGTGTCAGGGGCCCTGAGTATGGTCCCTAACCTCCTTTACAGGGTTCTGATGTATGGGCCCTCAGTTTGTATAGGGTTATAAGGGGAATATACGGGGTACCTTTAAGGGCCCATACTAAAAGACTATGTAACTGCCATTTAGAGTTTAGGGTTTGGGTTTTAGGGTTTGGGTTTTAGGGTTTAGGGTTTAGGGTTTAGGGTTTAGGGTCTAGGGTTTAGGGTTCAGGGTTCAGGGTTCAGGGTTCAGGGTTCAGGGGCACGGGCCGCGAATGTGAAACGCTGTGTGTTTGCCTGGAAGGCTCTACGTCGAGCAGCATGACCCAGGCTCGTCCGGCTTCTCGGGTTTAGGGTTTAGGGCTTTGGGGTTTTGGGTCCAAGAACCCCAAACCCTCAAGCCCTCAACTTTTCATGCGTTCCAATGCCCAAGACCCTGACAAGCCTAAACTGAAACCCTGAACCCTGAACCCTAAACCCTAAACCCTAAATGGCAACTCCAAACCCCGGCATCCCTGGCAACCCTGAACCATCACCCTAACCCCAAACCCCAAGCCCTAAATCCTAAACCCTGGCAACCCCAAACTTTGGCAACGCTGACAACCCTAAACCCTAAAGCCCCAAACCCTAAAATACCCTAAAATACCCTAAAGCCCTAAACCCCAAACCCTAAACCCTAAACCCTAAACCCCAAACCCCAAACTCCAGGCTGGGGACTGGAGGGCGCCACGCCAGCAGCCATGCAGACGGCGCTGACGGGCCTCAGGCTTGGCGATGTTTTTGGATCTTAGCATTTTCGGGTTCGAGGGTTCATAGAAAGGTTTAGGGTTTAGGGCTTAGGGTTTGTTTAGGGTTTAGGGTTTAGGGTTTAGGGTTTAGGGTTTAGGGTTTAGGGTTCATAGGGTTTTCGGCTTCACCGGGGTTTAGGATTGTAGGGGTTTTAGGGTTTTAGGGTTCACAGGGCTTTAGGGTTCTGGGGTTCTAGGGGTTTAGGGTTCCAGGCTTTTGTGGTTTTAGGCTTCACAGGGTTTAGGGCTCAAAGGGTTCGTAGGGTTCGTAGGGTTCACATAGGGTTCATAGGGTTCACAGGGCTCACAAGGTTCATAGTTGGGCTTAGGGGTCGGGAATCAGGGTTCAGGAGTTAGGTTTAGGGTTTATGATTTCGGGTTTACAGAACTTGTTCTGCCAAAAGCAATCCGTGTATCAGCCCCGTAGCAAGATAGTAACTGTTCAAAAAGCTCCTCAAATACTATTCACCAAACAAAGCCGATAAGTTTCCAATTTACTGTTTAAGGTACATGTCGAAAAATTCAGGAATAGTTGGCTCCCTGGGAATTTCCCTAAACCCTAAACCCTAAGCCCGAAACCCTAAACCCGAAACCCGAAACCCTAAACCCTACTGTAAACCCTAAATCGCCTGGGTCCCATGCGGCTAGGACACGCGGTGTCGACATTCCGGCCTTCTCGCCGGTGTGAGTGCATTGCAGGATCTAGAACGACGCTTTGCTTATGGTTTTTTTAGGGTTTAGGGTTTAGGGTTTAGGGTTTAGGGGGGTATACTTCATATCCCCCGGAACACTGAATCCTTATTGTACCCCAAAAAGGATACCACCATTTGGGGACACCTTGCAGTCCTAGCGTTTGGCCATACGGCAGCACGGCCCCTATCTGGAGTATGTTCGCTTGTGGTGATGTGGTGATGGCATTTAGCAGATTTGCCATCGTAGTGGAAGCACTGACGGTCCTGCCAACGAAGCAGGTGAAGCCATTAGCTAGCTGCTGCGAATGCAGCCTGCCAAAAGCAGAACGCGCACACGAAGGTGAAGCCATAGTACAGACCTATTGTTGTGGTTCAGCCAACGATGCCTAGTCGACATTTGCAGTTCGGGGTTTAGGGTCTAGGGGTTTTTAGTCCGGGGATCTTTGCAGATCGCCACTGCTGTGTCCCTTAATTCCTTGTGCATTGCCATTCTGGGCCGGCCCCGTGCGCTGCAGCTGCTCGAGAAACATGCGCCGCACAACGTTTGCTACATGGTGAGTTCTCTAACCCTAAACCCTGAACCCTAAACCCTTTTTTGGGTACCTTAAATACCCCTTAGGGTTGAGGGTTTAGGGCTGGCAAAGAGGTACCCTTTCAGTGGGAGATGCTGTTGATGCCAAACTTTTTTCGGTACTCTGCATTCCTTGAGGTCGTGCTTTGCAAGGTGAAGTTCGCATCACATAGTGACATAGTGGGCAGCGGCAGCCCGGACCACGTGCTCAGCCTGTTGCAGATTAGCTCACACAAGCCAGCACGCAAGGACGCCCTATTGCAAGAGCAAAACCTGATGAGATTTAAACTTTTCAAGTTTGACACAGCCATGCTCCAGGGCTTAAGATGATGGCCAGTCGCTCAGCATGCCATCTCAGACTTCGGGCACGGCCGCCTTGGAATCGCATGCCAGGTTAACGCTCTCTCTCCCTGTCACACCTTGAGACCCAACCTCTGTTTCCAAGCCACTTAGAACCCACCCTGGAACCAACATCATATGTGCTTTACCGTGAAGAGGATACGATCGAGAAGGTAAGTGAATCAGATGTTGGACACAAAGCCCCAGATGTAGCTTCACTCGCCTTTTTTGCTCTTTTCACGAGCACACGGGATACATTAATACTAGTACGAAGCGAAGTAAACTAATGCATTCAAGGAGCACGGGCGCATTCATTTCTCTTTTTATAAGTCCGCGATACAATATTAGCGCCCCATAAACGATTAAGAGAAAAAGAGTGGCGCGTGAACTCTATTCAATTATTCAATATTAAATCCTGTGTTCCGTTCACGTCATTAGTGCAGTTCACGCGCTACCTTCGTTCCTTCGTTCGCGTGTACCTTTGTTTACTTGCGTTCTCTCCCCAGTTCCGGGCAGGAAAAAACTTCAAAGAGGTCGACAACTTGGTTGCCCACTGGTACCCTTTACTTTTTTTTGGTTCTGGTTTCCCTTGTAAAATAACCAACTCAAAAAAGGGTGCCCTTATCATAATATGGTTACCGGGCTACCAAGACAAGGTGTGCACTAGCCCAGAATTGCTTGTCTGATCCGAGGGACCATCCGCAGTTGCGGCTGCAGTCGCAAACGCTTTGACAGCTTCTTGCAGTCCCTTAAAAAGCCTAAACCCTAAGCCCTAAACCCGAAACCCGAAACCTTAAACCCTAAACCCCTAAACCCTAAACCCTAAACCCTAACCCAAAACACCCTTGATGTTTAACACAGCCAGGTCTGTTCCAGACTCTGAGGCCATGGATGACCAGGCGGGCCGGCAGAGTGCAACGTTGAGTTCGCTCCTTTTCTTCGGTCGTTTAAATCCCTAAACCCTAAACCCTAAACCTTAAACCCTAAACCCTAAACCCTAAACCCTAAGCCCTAAACCCTAAACCCTAAACCCTAGACCCTAAACCCTAAACCCTAAACCCTAAACCCTAAATTACGGAAGACGGCCTAAATGTAAGAAGGATCCCCACACATTTCGGGCTCTTTGGGTTATGCTAACTCTAAGAAGATGCATCTTAACCCCGAAACCTTCAACCCTGAACCCTAAACCCTAAGGAATGCTCCTTAAGGGATATTGGGCATCTGGTTGGAAGTTCATGGGTAGTTATAAGTAGTTTTATAAGTACGGTAACTATACTTTTAACCCTATTTTGGGTACTTACAGCCCTACTTGTAACTTATCACGAAAGCTAGCCCCTGAGGAGCTAGCGGAGTATCTTGCTTAAGCGAAGCTTACAACCTGATGGGTATACAGGGCAATCGGAGGCTCCGCCACGAAACGCAGCAAACCCGGTTGGTTTCCGGGTGGCGAACACAGGTTTTGGGGAAACGGGCTGGCGTTCATTTCTTTCGTATATTGGGTGCAAATGAACGCCGTTTTCTGTGGATCCCAGGCCCTAGAAAAGCCCCCCAAGTCCCCCAAGAAAAGACTCAGAAGCCTTGATGTTGATTGAGTCTGGCGTCCCTCAAAGCTGGATTGGACAGGCTTCAGACTTCGCCTGGTGAGTGCAACATCTGTTGTGGTGTCATGCGCTTCAAAAAAGAGCCCTCCGGAAGATGCTAACAGAAAAGCCCCCTAAGAAAAGACTCACAAGCCTTGATGTTGACTTGAGTCCGGCGTCCCTCAAAGCTGGATTGGACAGGTTCCCCTGGTGAGTGCAACATCTGTTGTGGTGTCATGCGTTTCAAAAAAGAGCCCTCCGGAAGATGCTAAAACACCGCAGAGCAAAGCAACACACCAACACATTGCCAGAAGGAATGCCACGTCAATATTGGCACCTGCGCCAGAAAAAAGGTGACACGACCTGCTGCCTTTGCGTGTGCTTGTCCTTCTGCGTGGTTGATGCCATGTTGACGGAAGCTCTTCCGTGGGGGTACCTTAACAAGCTTTCGTCCCAGGCCCTCACCCCCAAGTATATAACTACCCATGAAGCTCCAAGTAGCCCGAAACCCTAAACCCCAGTCCCCTAAACCCCTCCAAGTAGGGTTATTAACAGCAGCTAGCCAGAGTTCGGCTCCATGAGTTTGCTGCGGCAGTGTGTGGGGGGGGGGGGGGGGGGGGGGGCACCCCCCCCCTCCCCCCAGCAAGTGAGGGTTCCAGCCCCCTAGGGTTTAGGGTTTGTAGGGTTTGTGGGTTTGCAGGGTTTTACGGGTTTATAAGGGTTTACATTCTAGGGTATATAGCTAGGCATCTACAGGGTTTATAAGGGTTTATAGCGTCTATTGTGTTTCTAGGGTTTATAGGGTTTCCATTCTAGGGTATATAGCTAGGATGCCCAGTAGGGCCCTTATTCCCTTTTTGGTGCCTCCAGGTTCCCCCTATAAACCCCTTTAAGCAACAAAGGGCACCCTTTTTAATCCTAGGTTACTGGGCAACCTAGATAGGGTTTAGGGTTTAGGGTTTAGGGTTTCGGGTTTAGGGTTTAGGGTTTAGGGTTTAGGGTTCCGCAGGAGCATCCACCCCAGGCCGAGGAGGCCATGGAGAGCGCCGGGGAGGCCGAAGAGGAGGCGGCCCCTTGAAACGTGAGCGTTTGGCACCCTGAACCCTCATTGGGGTTTAGGGTTTAGGGTTTAGGGTTTAGGGCTTAGGGTTTAGGGCTTAGGGTTTAGGGTGTAGGGTTTAGGGTTTAGGATGCCTCAGCATCCTCAGCCCAAACCATAAAAACCCCCTCAGCCCGAAAGCCCTCCAACGCAGGAGGCTTGGGGTATAACCCTCTAACCAACCCCAAAAAAATGACCCCTACATAGCCCCGAAATAACCCCTAAACAACCCCAAATAACCCCTAAAGAACCCCGAAGGTCTCTTATAAGGGTCCTCCCTTTCCCTAAGGGTCCATGTACCTATGCAGTACGTACTTGGGCCTTAAAGGGGTTCCCATATCGTAGCTTTGTTGGCCCAAATATATACTATATAGGTACATGGACCCTTAGGGTTTAGTTCCTTGAGAGGCCGAAGATGATGTGCCCCAAAAGCGAGCGGCGAAGGCTCCGCCAGCAGCCGAGGTGCCAACGGGAATTCTGAAAGGTCAGGGTTTAGGGTTGATAGTTTATAGGGTTTAGGGTGGTTTAGGGTTTATAGGTTTATAGGGTTTAGGGTTTACAGGGTTGACAGGGTTTAGGGTTTGCAGGGTTTAGGGTTTGCAGGGTTTAGGGTTTGGGGTTTAGGGTTTAGGCTCCCGCAAGGAAATCACATGCATTGAGGGTTCCATGGCGTTGGGGGATTGAGGGCTTAACGGGGCTAAGTTTTTTTGGGGGTGCCGATAGATTTCAAGTTAGAGTGTAGAGGGCTTAGGCTTGGGGTTTAAGTTTTGCTTTGGGATTAGGATTTAGGGTTTAGGGTTTAGCGTTTAGGGTTTATTGTTTTAGGATTTATGGTTTTTGTGCTTAGGGTCTGGACTGGAGGCTGCAGGATCGAGGGTTTTCCAGGTTGAAGGCTGTAACATGTAGGGTTAAAGGTTTAGTTTAGTGGTTGTTTAAGGTCTGTAGAAGTGAGTCCTTAGTGGTCAGCGAAGCTTGTGTGGATGGCTTAGGCTTGCTTGGAAGCTCTCGTGACGTATTATGTCTACTCAGTATCCCCAGAAACCCCATTAACATGTCCATAGCCCAACTTAGTTGTAGAGTAGATAACCTTTAACCTTTTTGGGAGTAATGAATCTCCCGGTAATCGCAATGGTTAACCTTTAGTTCTCCTAGGTGTTGGACAACTAGGCCAACTTACTACTTACTAAGTCAAAAGGGCTTCCTAGTACGGATTGAGGGTTTAGTGTCAAGGGTGGTAGTGCGGCGTTTGTCACCTCTTCAGTCCTACTTGGAGGTCCATGAGAAGACTAAGTTATCAGAAGTAGGGCTACAAGTACCCGCAGTTGGGTTACAAGTATAGTTACCATACTTATAACCCTACTTATAACTTCCCATGAACCTCCACGTAGACCCTAAACCCTAAACCCTAAACTCTAAACCCTAAACCCCCCAAAAAAAAAAACTAAACCCCAAACCCCAAACCCTAAACCCTAAACCCTAAACCCTAAACCCTAAACCCTAAACCCTAAGCCTCTTTCAACCACCGGGCCAGGATCGCTTGGCGCAGGAGATTGCTAACCTGTGGCTTGCTGCTCCCGGCAAGCAGGCGAAGGGTTTGGGTTCAGGAGCCGCAACTAAGTTACCAAAGCAAGGATACATTTTATGGCTAACTCTCCCTCTTGTATCTATTGTTGGCCGTGACATAATTTCCGCACTTGAGCCCTAAACCCTAAACCCTAAACCCTAAACCCGAAGCGTTTGGGGCTCTGGGTTTGGGACGTTGGGGCTTCGGGTGTGGGGGGGGGGGGTACTCCCAGCAGGCATATGGTTTTTGGGGTTAGGGTTTAGGGTTAGGGTTTAGGGTTTATGTTCACTTCCCAGGCCCTGCCTGCTATAGGGGTCATAATAAGATACTTCTAATATTCCCGTAGGGTCCCTGTATAAATATACTACAATAACTACCCCAAACCCTGTTTTAATTGTTAAGGCCCCTATACGACACAGTGTCTTTTGGGGCCACTGGAGATGGGCCCTAAACCCTCAACCCTAGCCCTAAACCCTAAACCCTAAACCCTAGCCCTAAACCCTAAACCCCAAACCCTAAACATGGGCCTGTGTAGCATTGCAGGGTCACGATGATTTCCCCTGCAGGTTAGCTCGGCCGTCATCTGGCTTCACCATCAGGGTGAATCAGAGGCCGGATGCATGCTAGGGTTTAGGGTTTAGGGTTTAGGGTTTAGGGTTTAGGGTTTCGGGTTCAGGGTTTAGGGTTTGGGGTTTAGGGTTTAGGCTTTAGGGTTATCACACTGATAGTCACTCTGCACGCGTCGGCGCTCTTGTAGCTTGCGAGCTCTTAATATGAAGTTAGGGATATAAGTACCTTATATCTCCTTACGTAACCATCTGAGGGAGTTTATAGGGTTCCTAATTCCTTAGTCCTGAATACCCTTAAACAAACAAGCAGTAAGCAAAGACTTTCACTATGCTTCCTAAGCCCTAAGCCCTAAGCCCTAAGCCCTAAGCCCTAAGCCCTAAGCCCTAAGCCCTAAGCCCTAAACCCTAAACCCTAAACCTAAACCCCAGGCCATGCAGCAGATGCTCTTCCGCAACTTTCAGCTGCCAGAGGAGGTTGGGCGCGTGCGCTGGCTTTGGCAGGGGAACCTGGTCTTTGTGTGCTTTAGGGTTCAGGGTTTCGGGGTACTTTACCGTGACTTTAGATCCTTGGCCTTTTTGGGCTTATTGGGTTTCCTAGTAAGGCAGCAAAAAATTTAGTTTGTAGCTACCCTCCTAAGTGCAGCCAAGTGGTGGGTACCCAAAAAGCGCAATGCCCCCTAATTGAGGAATAGGGTTTAGGGTTGAGGGTTTAGGGTTTGTGGTTTGGGGCCAATGCCCCTGAATGAAGGAATGCGCCTTCAATCGTACGAAGGATCCCCATGTGGTTTAAGAATATTCTATTTGCGGAGTTTTGGGCTCTCTGGGTACTTGGAGGTACATCTGGGTAGTTCTAGGTAGGGTTACAAGGGTTATATTGGGTTTAGGGTAGCAGCTATGGTAAGAATACCCATAAACCTATAACCGTAAACCCTAAACCCTATTATGGGCACCCGGTGCACCCCCCAAAGAGCCCAATGCCCCGTCCTTAACGAAGGAGCATGCCATTATGCTGTGCAGGTTTAGGTTGTAGGGTTTAGGGCTTAGGGTTGATTCAATTCGGTGTTCCTTAGTAAAGGCGAAGTGGGGCAAAACCCGAAACCCTACACCACAAGCCCGAAGCCCGAATCCCCTAGCTGAAGAGGTTCGAAGTTCGGCCACCGTAAGTCTTAGCGCAGCCCAGCTGCCTATCAAAATGCTTTTCAGAAAGTCCGCTGTGAGGTCCAAGCATCAACCATGTCTTTAGTTAAAGGATACGAGGAAGAGCCTGCAGAAGGCACCCTTCATCCCTCAATTTAGGGTGTAGGGTTTAGGGTTCATCCCTCTTGGGGGGGCTTTGGGTTTGGGATTGCAGGGCGCGGGGCCTCTCCCAGGCCACGAGCGCCGCTGCAACCCAGCAGCATACGGGGTCACAGCCCCACATTGCAGTGGTTTGACATCAAGGACGGGTGGGTTGCGACTGTTTGTAAGCCCTGTTGACTTCGTACGTAAGTAGGTTAGCAAGGGTTTCTCGGACTTACCAAGTGAAGAGGACTTCTAAGTCCCGTAAGCCCCCCCCCCCCCCCCCCCCCACGGCCCGGCCGTCTGCTGCAAGTACTCAGAGACTGTCCCCTTCAGGGTTTCGGTAGTCACTGCTCCCACTCCGTGCTTTGACCCTCTCCTTGTTTAGATGCTATCATGACCAAGGGTACCGTATTTGATATAAGCCATGTCTGTTGTTTCTTCCATGTCTTTGTGTTCACTATAGCCCATAGGACGTTTTTTTTTTTTAAACAGTTCTATTGATTTAAAACCGAAGAGAATATTCAGAATGATCTTGTTACTAAGGTTCTAAGGGGTCAATTAGGGTTTAGGGTTTAGGGTTCAGGGTTTAGGGTTTAGGGTTTAGGGTTTAGGGTTAGGGTTCAAGCTCTGCGCTCTCCACACGGTTCTCTGGCTTCAGTGCCTCGGCCCTGCGCAGCCCGCTCAACTCTGAGTTTCACTTAGAGTTAGGGTTTAGGGTTTAGGGTTTAGGGTTTAGGGTTTAGGGTTTAGGGTTTAGGGTTTAGGGTTTAGGGTTTAGGGTTTAGGGTTTAGGGTTTAGGGTGCTAATTGTAAGCCCACGTCGCCCCAAATGCATGAGAGGCCTTGAGGAACCCTAAACCCCTGATCAGAGGAAGGACGTTGAAACTTGGGCCCCTGAGAAGCTGGTGCGCTTCACGAGAGCTTTTGAATATTTGTTGGTCGTTGGGGTTTAGGGTTTAGGGTTTAGGTTTTGGGGTTTGGGGTTTAGGGTGGGCTTTAGGGCTGAAGGGTTTAGGGCGTTATTGGCATTTAGGCTTTCGTTTGGGTTTTGGGGTTGGGGCTTGGGGTTTGTGGTGGTTTACGGCTACGTGGGGCCAGTTAGGCTTTAGGTAGTTTGTTGAGGCTTAGCTTGTGCTATTTGGGAGAAAGATAAGACGGGGTAGGGCTATTGGGGGAACGGTACGGTTGTTTGTGTTGCGGGGGTTTTGGTTTTTGGTTGGTGAGCGTATAGGGGCATGGGTTTTCGACGTGTAGGCTTACAGGGGCCTGCGGCGTTCAGGGTTAAGGGCTCGAGAGCTTAGGGTTCTAATCTGCTGGTGTCAACCCCCTCGCCGGCGAGGAATATCCAATTTGTCGGATGGTCCGCGGCATCCCTGACCGACCCCGCAAGGGGGAGGACGAGTTCTGGCCAAAGTTACCCTAAACCCTAAACCCTAAACCCTAAGCCCCAAACCTTAAACCCTAAACCCTAAACCCTTTGGGGTTCAGGTTTCACGTCCTTCACATGGCCTTAACACGAACTGGGACCCTCTTTTCCCTTCTTGTAATTCGGCCCCACTAGGCCAAACAGGGCACCAAGTTCAGTCGCAGGTTTCTCTTGGGTCTAGCAGAGCGTGGGATTTAGGGTTTAGGGTTTGGGGTTTAGGGTTTAGGGTTTATGTAACCCTACATCCAAAACCCCTAAAGCCTTCGCCACACATGAACTCGACCGAACATCTGCGTGCCTTTAGACCGGTCAGGGGTTTTAAGGGCGTAAATCACTGGCGTTGATCACAGGCAACTTAAGATTGCTGTTGCTTCACCTGAAACCCTAAACCCTAAACCCTACAAGTCCCATATTTTAAACCCTAAACCCTAAACCCTCTAAACACTCTAAACCCTCTAAACCCTCTAAACCCTCTAAACCCTCTAAACCCCCTAAACCCGAAACCCTAAACCCTAAACCCCAACCAAGACCGCAGACGGTCTTGGAGGACGGAGGCGATGTCTCCGCAGCAGTCAAGCGCACTGAGACCATGGTCCGTGCCCTGGAGGCTGTCTACCAACCGCGTAGGTTGGGGTTTAGGGTTTGGGGTTTAGGGTTTGGGGCTTAGGGTTTAGGGTTTGGGGTTTGGGGTTTAGGGTGTAGGGTTTATTTGGGTTTGAAGTTTGGGGTTTAAGGTTTGGGGTTTGGGGTTTCGGATACACGCCCCCCCCCCCCCCAAGCCCTAAATCTCAACTTCATGTCCATCAGGCACGGAGAAGGGCGCTGCCAGTTGGGGGCCTTTGTGAACGGTTATCTAGGACCCTGGAAACCCTAGAAAGGGTGGAGGGTTTAGGGTTTAGGGTTTAGGGTTTAGGGTTTAGGGTTTAGGGTTCAGGGTTCAGGGAACCCTATGAACCATAGAAACCTTACAGCCAACGGCCGTTATTCCCTTTTTTAAGAGGCTTAGGTTTCCTTCTAACCCCCTTTCAACCAAAAGGGGCATCCTTTCTATTCCTGGGTTACTCTGTGGTCCTAAACCCGAAACCCTAAACCCTAAACCCTAAACCGAAACCCTAAACCCTAAACCCTAAGCCCTAAGCCCTAAGCCCTAAGCCCTAAGCCCTAAGCCCTAAGCCCTAAGCCCTAAGCCCTAAGCCCTAAGCCCTAAGCCCTAAGCCCTAAGCCCTAAGCCCTAACGTAGCCTCACCTAAGACCTGCCCTGCAGGTGGAAGGCATACCACGCAGTCGTATCCTCCTGGGTGGCTTCGGAACCTTGGCTTGGTTTTTTTGCGTTTCAGGGTTTGGGGCTTTGGAGTTTACGATTTTTGGGTTCGGGGGCGGTTTCAGGGCTTTAGGTTTTTAGGTTTTAGGGTTTCAGGGTTTCATTGTCCAGGGTTTTAGGGTTTAGGATTTCAAGGTTTAAGGTTTAGCGTGAAGGAGTTAGGGTTTCAGGTTTAGAAGGGTGAGGGTTGAGGGTTTAGGGAAGGAGGCTTGGGGGGGTTAGGCCTCAGGACTGGAGCTTCAACCCCAGGTAATTCTCAGATAGGGGAGACGCCGTGCAATGTAAGATCGTGTTCGTTGATTCCGGCTTCGTGCGACGGATGTTAGGTAGTCTTTTTTGGCTTTGTAGTTAGGCCAGACTTATGGACTTGGTTTTCAAGAGCACCCTCAACCCACAACCCTAACACACCAAGCCCCATGATACCAGCCCTTTGACCCCAAGCCGCAATTGAGGGTTTCCGAAATTAAGGTTTAGGGTTTAGGGTTTGGGGTTTAGGGTTTAGGGTTTAGGGCTTAGGGCTTAGGGTTAGGCACCTTCTTAGGGGTCCTTACTATAAGGAGTCCTTTTTGGGGTCTATACTAGGGGTCCCTTCTTGTTTCGTTTCCCCTCCCAATCGAGGACCACTGCATGTCATCCTAAAGGCGCGACTTTTTCAGGCTATGTGAAATCTGCCATGGCGATGGCGCCTCCTCGTCGTGCTGAAGTCTGGGGTTGTCTGCAGTACTGTCCTAAACCCTAAACCCTAAACCCTAAACCCTAAACCCTAAACCCTAAACCCTAAACCCTAAACCCTAAACCCTAAACCCTAAACCCTAAACCCTAAACCCTAAACCCTAAACCCTAAACCCTAAACCCTAAACCCTAAACCCTAAACCCTAAACCCTAAAACCTCAACCCTAAACCCTAAACCCTAAACCCTAAACCCTAAACCCTAAACCCTAAACCCTAAACCCTAAACCCTAAACCCTAACCCTGAACCCTGAACCCTAAACCCGGCCCAGGCCAGGGGGCCGCGTTAGTCCTGCGGACGGCGACGCCCTCGGCTGCCTGATCCGCGGGCGTCGCGGGGGGTTTTCACCCGAAGCCCTAAACTCTAAACCCTAACCCTAACCCTAAAACCCTAAACCTTAAACCCTAAACCCTGAACCCTAAACCCCGCAAACCCTAAACCCTAAACGCAACTCCGCAGAAGCCCTGAGCCCAAGAGCTTAAGCTGAAACCTGAAGTCTAAGAAGTGAGAAGGGCTTTCAAGCCACGGCTTGAGATTCCTAGGGTTAGGGTTTAGGGTTTAGGGTGCAGGGTTTAGGGCAGGGTTTAGGGTTTAGGGAGCCCTAAGCCCAGAAGCCACATAGGGCTGCTTCGGATTTAGGGCCTAGGGTCTAGGATCTAGGGTTTAGGGTTTGGGGTTCGGGGTTTAGGGTTTACGGTTTAGGGGCGCACCTCGACCTCTGAACCCTCAATACCAAAACGCGAGACCCAAGCTCCACAAGCCACAGCTCCTGGCTCCCAGAACGGGCGTTTTCCCAAAGCTTCGGGATTTATACACCCAAGATATAGAATCCTGATACGAGCCCAAGCTACCCTAAACCCTAAACCTTAAACCATAAGCCTCAAGTCCTGAACCCTAAAAATCGCCAAAAGGACAGCTCAGATGTTTTTTGCAATTCCCCACATGACTAGGTAGGCCCTTTTCATCACTTTTTAGGGTTTCGGTTCCCTTATCAGCCATCTTTAAAACTAATTTTAAACTAAAAAGCTTACCTTTTCATTCCTAGGCTACTAGCCCTAAACCCTATACCCTAAACCCTAAACCGTGATTTGTAACCAAAAAGCTTACCTTTGTATTCCTAGGCTACTCTTGGGACTAGATGCTGAATAGGTCCTCCAGTCCAAAGAGCCTCTGGCCGGAGGCCGCCGAACAAGGGCGCCTGGTTCACGGGATTGGGTTTTTGGGGTTTTGGGTTCAGGGTTTTAGGGTTTTAGGGTTTAGGGTTTAGGGTTTTTAGGGTTTAGGGTTTAGGGTTTAGGGTTTAGGGTGTCGGCTCCCAAAGTTGCATCGAATTCTGCTGCACAAATCTCGCGGCCAACATGAACCTTGTATCGTAAGATTTTTTGAACTTCATCCTATAAGACAGTTTGTTGTCTCCGTAAAATTAAGCACTTTACTTCATGTTGATGTTGCATGTGTTTATCTTAGTTCTTTCACAAATACATGCACGCACCATATTTGATGGACAATCTACAATAGCTCAGAAATAAAAGACAAGAAAGTTAGGGTATCGGGTTTAGGCTTAGGGCAGGGTTCAGGGTTTAGGGTTTACAGTTGAGGCTTTGTGGGAGCTTGCGTAGCCCGACAGCCATGCTGTTTTGACGAACAACCCCTTCTAAGTGCCGGTGCTGGGCCCACCGGCTGTGGTCGCTTGCAGTACAATCCGATCCAATGCCCCGAGCCCTAGACCCCAAACCCTAAACCCGAAACCCTTAACCCCGAAATGCTTGGGGGGTCTTGGAGAGATGCAGTTGACAAGTGAGCATCAGCTGTTTTGCCGTTCTCCGACCTACAAAGCACAGAGAGCCCATAGAGCTTTATAACCCTAAACCGTAAACCCTAAACCCTAGTGCAGATCGCTTTAGGGTTTAGGGTCTAGGGGTCTAGGGTCTGCACTGGAACTGCCCACGGCGTCAGGGCTTTGGGTTTGGGGTTTCCTAAATCTTCTAAAAGGACTTTTTCGGGTTTAAGGCTTAGGGTTTAGGGTTTAGGGTTTAGGGTTTAGGGTGAGTATCAGCCTATTGCAGCGTGACAGAGATTGCAGGAGTGGTTTGCAGTGGCTGGGTGGCGGGCTCCACTGCTCGAACCTTACTGCCAGGTTTTGCAGGGAAGTACATGGTTTACCTTAGCCCTAAACCCTGACCCTAATTAAAGCCCTAAAGCCCTAAAACCCTAAAACCCTAAAACCCTAAAACCTTAAAACCCTAAAACCCTAAAACCCTGAAACCCTCCCTGAAACCTTAAAACCCTAAAACCCTAAAACCCTAAAACCCTACAACCCTAAAACCCTAAAACCCCAAAACCTCAAAACCCTAAAACCCTAAAACCCTAAAACCCTAAACCCCTAAAACCCTAAAACCCTAAAACCCTAAACCCCTAAAACCCTAAAACCCTAAAACCCTCAAACCCTAAACCCTAAAACCCTAAGCCCTAAAACCCTAAACTAACTCTGATCTAGGTTGTAGTCCCCCTTACCAGGACACCGACTCCCAGCAGTTTCCTTGCAGGCCCCCAGTGGTTTCTGAGGCTAAACCCTAAACCCTAAACCCTAAAACCTAATTCTCTGGCAGCTGCAAGCAACATCCTTGATTCAGCAGCGTTCAAGGTTGAGGACAATCTCTATTATTCAGATTTAGGTGGGCGCGTGCGTGCTGCGTGCACGCGTGCCTCCTTGGTGATGTTGGTGAGTGTACATATGGGCGCCCCTTCGGCGATAAATACACCGTACCCTGATCCTAAACCTTTTGGGGTGCTAGTAATGTCTGAAAAGCCCTAGTTGATGGAAAAGTGGGTTAGAGACTTTGGAAAGAAGATCTCCGTGCTTGTTTGCTCGGTAAAGTTCTTATGTGGTAGTTTCCAGAAAATAGGGCCCCCTGGTAAAATGTAATTCGTCTCTCTACTAGTGAGGACTCCAAAAACGGGACCCTCATTTGTTGGAAACCCCCCAGGGCAGGGTGGTGGGCTGCAACCCAATGGCTCTACATGACTGTTGATCAAGGTGCCACTTAGGGGAACTCCCCCAAATAGAAGGCCCCGTACTCGAATTCTAACCCGAGCAGGGTTTCATAGTGTAGAGAATGTCAGGGGTCCTAAACCCTTTAGCACCCTAGGCCCTAAACCCCTAAACCCTACTAGGGTTTAGGGATTAGGGTTTAGGGTTTAGGGTTTAGGGTTCAAATTACTTCAGCAAGGGGGGGGGGGGGGGCGACTCCAGCGGGGCTGCAGGATGTCCCAGACGACATCTCGGAAGGAGGCAGGAGCACAGCCGGCACCTCAAAGAAGACACGGAGGGCTTGGTTTAGGGTTTAGGGTTTAGGGGTTAGGGGTTTAGGGTTTAGGGTTTAGGGTTTAGGGGTTAGGGGTTAGGGGTTTAGGTTTAGGGTTTAGGGTTTAGGGTTTAGGGTTTAGGGTTTAGGGTTTAGGGTTTAGGGTTTAGGGTTTAGGGTTTAGGGTTTAGGGTTTAGGGTTTAGGGTGTCAAGGGATTAAGACTCGTACCCCTAAGGTTGTACCCCTTACGGTTCCCCTTACTGCACTCCCAAAATGCCCTTCTCCGATGCTACCCTAAGGATCTTTCACAAGGTTCCCCAAGACCCCAGGGTACAACCGTATTGGTGCAAGGTACAACCCCTAGAAGTACTCTGCCAAGGCACAGCTGCGAAGCACAAGTATTCTGTATGTACGTATTTATGTATGTACAAATATATGTATGTATGTATGTATGTATGTATGTATGTATGTATGTATGTATGTATGTATGCATGTTTGAATGAATGTGGGTGCGTGTTTGTTTGCTTGCTTGCCTGCTTGCTTGCTTGCTTGTGTATACGTCTATGTATTATGTGCAGGATCTATTATGTATTATGTATTGTGTATATGTGTATGTTGCCTACATGTATTTGTTGGCTATGATTCATTTGTGGAATGCTTCATGTATAGACATACTCCCTGTGTACACATGCACATCTCGACATGATGCAAGCCAATAAATGGGCGGACGTCAAAATACCATGTATGTAAAATATGATGGAAGTGCGATATGAAGTTCCGCTCTTGCAGGTTTATGTCTTCGCCACAAGGCGGCACCATGCGTATATGCAGGTTTCAGGCTCTTCCCCATGTAGGCGCTAGGATATCCTCCCCAAAGGCTAACATTTTAGGGTTTAGCGTGTAGGGTTTAGGGTTTAGAGCGATCCAGCTTCGGGAAGCTTAAGTAGTATAGGCGGCCTGCGGCTTAGGTAAGACTGTGGAACATTGGGTTAATTACACACCCTGAGCCCTACACCCTAAACCCTGTGGTTGCTCCTGATGCATACTGCCGGCGTGCCAAAATTCTAAAGTCATGCGGCGAAATACGCGCTAGGTTGGCGCTAGCATCGCGCTAGCACATATGAAGGGAAACTGCTTGCGGTGGCCACTTGCCCATCCAAGACGTAAAGCAGTACGTACTAAGACAGCTGATTTGAAACATGGCCAACCTGGAAGAGCAAAGCACTACTAGCTCGAGCTCAAGTAGCTCCAGTAGTTCCGAAGACGATGCCTGAGTCTTAAAATGACGGCGCTAGTGTGTTTTGCGAGGTTTTTGCATAGGGAACAAGAATTAGTACTACACTTCTGTACTTGCCAAAGCCATCGTTCCAGACCTTCGTTTTCCTTCTCGTCATAAGGCGGCACCATGATTCTTTCAGCATCCGCAGTTCCTGGAAGAAGGAATGTTGACAGCCACCCAAATATACCTCTAAGTACAAAAATGTATACCTATGCAGGATGGCACATTTAGCCTGCAAAGGCTTGTGTGGTGGTGCGTACATTCGCGCGCGAATTCCGGCCGGTTGCCTACTCAGAGACTCCAATAGTATTCCTCAACTGAGGCATACTTCGCAACTCATCCTAGGGATCCTAATATGAGTTAGAGAATATGCCCCTAAACCCTAAACCCTAAACCCTAAGCCCTAAACCCTAAACCCCAGAGCCTGGTATCTCCCTGGGCATCTCTCTAAAACGAGGCACTGCTGTGGTGCCACGGAGCCCGCGACGACGTGGTCGAGCCGCGCCTGGCGGCGGAGCAGGCGAAGGCTTTGAAGGCACCGGGGGACCTTACGGGGTTTAGGGTTTAGGGTTTAGGGTTTAGGGTTTAGGGTTGGATAGTTACAAGTAGGGTTATAGGGTTATAGGGTTAGAGGCTGCTAGGGTGCGAGGGTTTAGGATGTAGAGTTTGGAGTTCAAAATGCCGTAACTTTATTCACAACCCTGCTTGGGGCACTTATAGCCCTGCTTGTATCTACCCGTGAACCTCCTAGTAAATCCAGACTGGATTAGGGTGTCAGGGCATCTGGTTTCAGAGGGAACCCTAAACCTTAAGCTTTTGGGGCTTACGGTTTCAGAGCTTCAAAAAGAGCTGAGATGCCCGGTGGCACCCTTGTTCCCTTTTAGGGGGGGGGGGGGGGGGGGCAGGCTCCCGTGTAGAGCCCCTTTAACAGGGTTGGGTTTAGGGTTTAGGGGTTTAGGGGTTTAGGGTTTAGGGTTTAGGGTTCAGGGTTCAGGGTTCAGGGTTTAGGGTTTAGGGTTTAGGGTTTAGGGCACCCTTCTTCTATCCTTGGTTATTGGGTTTTTAGAGGGCAGAGGGTTTAGGGTTTAGCTTGCGTACTGGCTCTTAGTAGGGAATGAGGGAATGAGGTGCCCTATACAATTAAATCCTTTGGAGGGCCATGTACGGGGGAAAAGGTGCCTAATCCCCTTTTTCCCTACTAGAGGGCAGCAAGATAAAAAGCTGTTACGATGAGAAACACAGTTCTTGTCATGTTGGATCATTGTGTAATGAGCCACTTCCACTGTCACTTTTTAAACGGTTTCCTGGTGACGATAACAGCCCTGAAGCCCTAAAGCTTAGACCCCAAACCCTAAACCCTAAACCCTAAACCCTAAACCCTAAACCCTAAACCCTAAGCCTAAAGCCCCAACCTGGCCGCTAGCCCAAGAGCGGAAGTTGGGTGGCCAGGAGGCGGCCGAGGTGAATTTGCGCTTTGTGCTGTTTCCAGAGATGCAGTGCCTGGGCGAAGACGAAGGGGGTTAGGGTTTAGGGTTTCGGGTTTAGGGTTTAGGGGTGGGCAGGTGGCCTTATGGCTAGATGGCGCTTAGAGGGGATTTTTGGAGGAATACCCCTTAGTTAAGGAATGTTCGTTAAAACAAGAGGGTTCCTCAAGAGGAGGGTGTGTTCCTGCTCAGGAGAACCGCACGCTCTGCGCAAGCTCGGACATTCCCAGCTTAGACCGGCTGAGTCAGAGAATGAGATGATGACGGCTGCCCTAAACCCTAAACCCTAAACCCTAAACCCTAAACCCTAAACCATGAATGCTAACTTTTAAACCTTGAAGCCCTAAACCATTAATGCTAACTTTTAAACCTTGAAGCCCTAAACCCTAAACCGCTATTCTGGAAACCTCTAAAGGCCGCCTCTGGGATCGCGCCAAAGAAACCCTAAATCCTAAACCCTAAAAACCCTAAAAACCCTTAAATCGAAGATCAGGTTCGAGCTCGCCTCCCAAGCCTTGTCGGAGATCCAGCGCTTCATCGCCGAGCGGCTCTTGCTGGCCGCTGGTCCGGCAGACGGTGCGGACCCCAGGGTTTAGGGTTTATAGGGGTTTAGGGTTTAGGGTTGATAGGGGTTTAGGGGTTTAGGGGTTTAGGGGTTTAGGGGTTTAGGGGTTTAGGGGTTTAGGGGTTTAGGGGTTAGGGTTTAGGGTTTCGGGTTGAAATACCCCCCAGCCCCGATCGGGGACGGGAGGGTTGGGGCTTGTTAGAGGTTTAGGGTTTAGGGTTTTAGGGTTGCAGGGTTTAGGTGTTTAGGGTTTAAGGTTCAATAAGGGCTTAGGTCTGTTTAAACACTTACGGTTTAGAGGTTTAGAGGTGGGACATTGAGTTACCCTAAACCCTAAACCCTAAACCCTAAACCCTAAACCCTAAACCCTAAACCCTAAACCCTTCTTGAAGGAGTAAGGCGCGGGGTCGGTGTCGGCTGGAGTCGCATGGCAGAGTAAGGAACTGTCTGGTCTTCCAAGGAAGGAGGACAATCTTGTAGTCCAAGATAGCATGTTTTGGGTTTAGGGTTTAGGGTTTAGGGTTTAGAGTTTAGGGTTTAGGGTTTAGGGTTTAGGGATGCTGAAGTGCTTGAAGTGACGCTGTCGAAAATCGAAGCCCTCATCCCTCTTACCCCTAAACCCTAAAACTAGGACCCAGAGTAGGCCCTTATTACCCCTTTTGTTTTAGGGGGGGTTAAGGGGTTAGGGTTTATAGGGTAACTAGGACCCAGAGTAGGCCCTTACTCCTTGTTGTGAGGGGTTTAGGTTCGCTTAGAACACCCTTTGAACCGAAAAGGGTGTCCTTCTCTTCCCAGGTTTCGTAAACGTCCGATAACACACCCCAAAAAACCTATACATCACCAACAACCCTTTATAGCCAACCCCTCTATGAAACATTCCTAAGACTTAATGGGTCCTGAATCTACACTGCGAAGTCCCTAAACCCCAAACCCTGAACCCTGAACCCTAAAACCTAAACCTTAAACCCTAAACCCTAAAGCCTAAACACTAAACCCTAAACCCTAAACCCTAAGCCCTAAGCCCTAAGCCCTGAGCCCTAAGCCCTAAGCCCTAAGCCCTAAACCCAAAACCAAGCCCTTCTTGGGATGCCGGCCAGGAATCGCTAGTGTGTAGAGACCGTTTTTGTTTCTAAGGGTCGTTACTTGGTCCCTGAATCTGGTACCTTGCCCTGTACATGTAGAGTTTAGGGTTTAGGGTTTAGGGTTCAGGCTTCAAGGTTTAGGGTTCAGGGTTTAGGGTTCAGGGTTTCGGTATGGTCCGTTCATCTGGTCCCTTACCTTCTTGAATGGGTTCTGAAGTAAGGGCCCTTGGGGTTTACAGGGTATGTAAGGGGCATACAAGGGGTCCCCTTTGAAGGGCCCATACTAAGGGACCATGTAGCTACCCTTCCCTTTGAAGGGCCCATACTACATACGAAGGGACCATGTACTTGAAGGTTCATGGTACTTACTAACCAGTTATAACTGCACTTCTACCCCTACTTATAATACCCCTAAAGGGCCTTATAGGGGTTATCCCAATTATAAGTAGGGTTGTCAGCCCAGTTATAAGTGGTTTGTAAGTACCATGAACCTCCAAGTAGCTGCCCTAAGATTGTTGGCAGAGGATGGGCAAATTGCAGCGCAGGTGGACTGGAACCAGGTTGACATGAAGTGAAGGATCTTCTTGCAGGTTTAGGGTTTAGGGGTTTAGGGTTTAGGGTTTAAGGTTTAGGGTTTAGGGTTTAGGGTTTGGGGTTTGGGGTTTGGGGTTTAGGGCTTTGGGTTGAGCATCGAGTTTGTGCGGATGGTCCAGGTCGACACAGATTGCGGTCTTAGGACAGATTGCAGGAGGATGGGATGCTTTTGCATGCTCAGGTTTCACCGCTTCATGTGTTTCACAGCCGCGCGCTCCCGCCCAAGCGCTGTGTCAGGAATTTCTCAGGTAGTTTGCAGTAGGGAGTTGTCCTCCGTCGAGCTGGACATTTACACATCTGTAATGGCCAGCTCGTGCATGTGGAGTGCAAGGAAAATGCTGGCCAAATGAACATGTTCATCCAAATTTGACACTTTGATCACTGAAGCAGGGTTGTTGATCTGCCCCGAGAGTAAACCCTAATTCAACCCTAAGCCCTCAGTCCCTTTCATTCAGAGTCAGAAGCCCTGTATAGTTCCAGGTTCACAGTATGCTTTTGTTCCTTAAACTTTTGGGGGGTAATAGGGCCCCCCCGCATAAGCCGTGCGAGGCCCGTCTGGCCTTATTCTGGCTGGTTCTTAGTTGGGAAAGAGGGAATGAGGTACCCTACATAACTCCTTAAATGTTATTACTAACCCTAAACCCTAAGCCCTAAGCCCTAAGCCCTAAGCCCTAAACCCTAAACCCTAAACCCTAAACCCTAAACCCTAAACCCTAAACCCTAAACCCTAAACCCTAAACCCTAAACCCTAAACCCTCAACCCTAAACCCTAAACCCTAAACCCTAAACCCTAAACCCTAAACCCTAAACCCTAAACCCTAAACCCTAAACCCTAAACCCTAAACCCTAAACTGAACCAGGGGTATTATTTCCCGCAGCATTTAGCACGCACCACTCGTGGGACTCGGCCTTGTCCATCTCATCTGAGACTTGGCAGCTGAATGAGTAAGGTTTAGGGTTTAGGGTTGAGGGTTTAGGGTTTAGGGTTTAGGGGTTTAGGGTTTAGGGTTTAGGGTTTAGGGTTTCGGGTTTGGGGTTTGGCGTTTGGGGTTTGGGGTTTAGGGTTTGGGGTTTAGGGTTAGGGTTTAGGATTTAGGGTTTAGGGTTTTGGGTTTTGGGTTTTGGGTTTAGGGTTTAGGGTTTGGGACTATAGAACTGCTTGGCAGCCCAGTGGTACCCTTTTGCCCTTTTGTTGGCTCAAGGTTCCCTCATAAAGTACCCAAAACAGGGTACCCTTATTGTAATATGCTTACCGGGCTACCAAGACTGTACACTTTTTTGGGGCTTCTGAACTCAGCAACTAAGGAGATGTCGCTGAAGATCTTCGAAATCGATGGAACCTTGCGTGGTTGCGAGGGGCAGATCTGGGATCGCGTCAACGGCTACAGGTGGGCGGGCTGTGCTCTATAGCCCACTTTATCTATTTTTTAAATGACTTACCTGATTTATATAAAACTCAAGTTAAGGGAAAGTTGAAAGCGTTACTTTTGCTAAGGTTCTAAGGGGAGCTCTGTAGCGACCATGTTGAATTCAAAAACAGCTTCGCACGGCAGGTGGTGGAAAAAGGAACTCGAAGAGAAGGAGGGCGGTTTCGAGAAGTTTGCCGAGGGCTACAAGATCTTCGGCTTCAACAAGACAGAAGGCTGGCGAGACAGGGCTGTAGGTGTTCAGGGTTTAGGGTTTGGGGTTTAGGGTTTAGGGTTTAGGGTTTAGGGTTTAGGGTTTAGGGTTTAGGGGTTAGGGTTTAGGGTTTAGGGTTTAGGGTTTAGGGTTTAGGGTGGACCCTAAGCCCTAAACCCTACCCCCCGCTCGTTTTGTGCGCCCCGAAGGTGGCTACACCTACCGCGAGTGGCTGCCTAACGCAAAGCAGGTCTTCCTCATCGGTGAGCGGCGTGCTGAGAGCACAATGCATGCTGCGCGGGTGTAGATTGGGGCATTTTCCAAGTATTCAGGGACCCTGAGCCCTAAACCCTCATTAACTGAGCCCTATTGCTTAGTGATAGAACCCTGGTTTTAATATGTTTGTGATGGTAAACAGGTACACCTCTTTCAGGGTTTACGGGCCTCTGTCTGTTTCTGAGGGTTTTTTGGGTCGCTGCTGCGTTTGTGAGACGCGCGCTTCGTTTATAGCCGACACCTGAGAGAGTACGGTTTAGCAGACCTCATAGCGAACTACCCCTTGGCTTAGTAAGGCCCTGACCCCAAACCCCAAACACTGAACAATAAGCCCTGAACCCTTAACCCTCAACGCTCAACCCTTAACCCTTTTTGGCACATTGCAGTTTGGAGAAACTGCATAGAACCCTCGAGATGCCCCAATACCCCTTAAACAAGGAATATACCTTGCATCATACTAAGGATCCCTGTATATGAACCCTAAACCCTGAACCCTCAACCCTAAACCCTCAACCCTAAATCCTAAACCCTACATATTGAGGTTTAGGGTTTAGGGTTTAGGGTTCAGGGTTTAGGAACACTTGCAGAGAGAGTCTGACTCGAACATCTGCGCGTGCGCGAAAGTCGGGCCCCGTAACCTTGGATGCTCTGGACCATACAATGCACATCATTGGATGTTTCCTTTTGTTCCTGTCAACAGGTCGGTCAGAGTTTCTATGGAATCGAATAGCCCCAGAGCACGAGCCTTACGGTGTGCCTACCCCACCAACCTCCTAGCAACGTCTTTTGGACCAAACCTTCTTGACCCCAAACCCTGAACCCTGAACCCTAGACCCTAGAACCCCGAACCCTGCTTGGTAGTTACAAGTCTAAGAAGGTTGCATGGTAGCTCTACTTATAGCCCCATGTGGGGTATAGCCCCTACCTATACCTACCCATGGACCTCCAAGTACTACAGGGGCCTTAATAATTAATGGGACTATAAGGGAATACTATTAAAAGGGGGGAACCTAGGGGGGTAGCCCTAAACCCTAAACCCTAAACCTTAAACCCTAAACCCCAAACCCTAAGCCCTAAACCCTAGACCCTGTAGAGTGGGGTGGTAGCGGAACCCATGCGCCCAGGTTCAACGGCTGGCAAAACTCGACCCCCTTGGAGAACGAGGGATTTGGCCGCTGGAAGGTGTTCCTGCCTGACAAGGATGGCCAGCCCTAAACCCTAAACCCTAAACCCTAAACCCTAAAAACCCTAAACCCTAAACCCTAAACCCTAAGGCCAGGGTTGCCCTTTCAGAGGTGCACAGTGCACGCAGGATGTTGTGCGCGTGCATGCGTGCACCCGCCGTCCCTAGGCCCCTACCGTTCAGGGGCTCTTGCCAAAAATGAATTTATCCTGGTTCGCAAGGGGGGTTCATGAGCCCCGGAAGCTCTGCCAGTAGAGCAGGTAACCTTTAACCTTTTGGGGGTGGTATATTCCCCTCATAATCCCAAAGGTTAACCTTTAAAACCCCTAGGTACTGGACAACTAAGAAGATCACAAGGTTAAGTTACCAAAAAAAATGCACATTGCAAATCTGGTTTCCTTCCGATGGTAGCTCAATATAAGTTCCTAAGCCCTAAGCCCTCATGAGCCCTAAGCCCGAAGCCTTAAAACCCTAAACCCTAAACCCTAAAACTCTAAACCCTAAGCCCTTAACAAGCCCAAAGCCCTAAACTCTAAACCCTAAATCATAAACCCTAAACCCTGAACCCTAAACCCTAAACCCTAAATCCACCAGGAGGATGGCAGCCCCAAGATCACGCACGCGACGCAGGTCAAGGCGCGCTGGGAGCCCTCTGCTGACAGACAGCCCAGAGAGCCCATGTAGGTTTAGGGCTTAGGGCTTAGGGCTTAGGGCTTAGGGCTTAGGGCTTAGGGTGTAGGGTGTAGGGTGTAGGGTGTAGGGTGTAGGGTTTAGGGTTTAGGGTTTAGGGTTTAGGGTTGTGTTTAGGGGTTTAGGGTTTAGGGTTTGGGGTTAGAGCCCAATGATGCGGCTAGATTGGTCCTCAAACCCTAAACCTGAAACCCTTAAACCCCCTTAAGCCCTTAAACCCAAATGCCTAAACCCTAAAACCCTCAAACCCTACAACCCTAAAACCCTAAACCCTAAAACCCTAAAACCCTAAAACCCTAAAACCCTAAAACCCTAAAACCCTAAAACCCTAAAACCCTAAAACCCTAAAACCCTAAACCCTAAACCCTCTTCAACCCCGTAAGCATTAAGTGCCCTGAGATCCACAAAAGGGTTGAGGGTTTGAAAGTCTGTAGGGGGTTTTTGTAGATGATCTATTTGTTCATGCGCTGTTTAGTTTCTACTTGCGCCCCAAAGCTAGTCTATCACCCTAAACCGTCAACCCTAAACCCTAAACCCTAAACCCTAAACCCTAAACTCTAAACTGGGGGGGTGGGGGGGGGGAGGGGGTTCGGCGCGGGGCATTTCGAGCTTCTGAGTTCCTGAACACCCACCCCCCACCCCCCTCACCGCGCGCGTGCGCGCACTTTGTGGTCGCTTGGTGAACCCGAAACTAGGCCCTTCTTTTCGGGCTTGGGGTTTCGGGGTACGAGGACCCAGAGTAGGCCCTTATTCCCTTCGTTCAAGGTTTAGGGTTTCGGGTTACGAGGACCCAGACTAGGCCCTTATTCCCTTCTTTTAGGGTTTAGGTTCCCTTGTGAGCCCCTTTAAAAACGAAAGGTACCCTTGTTGTTCCTAGGCTACTCTTGGGCCTGCGTCGTAAAGACTGTCAACCCTCAGCCCTAGACTCCCCGAACCCTTTTGAGGAAGAGACCTGAGTTCACAGGAAGGATCCTAAAGGGGCTTTTAAGAGGTACACCTTCGAAATATCCCCCGAAGATGTTGGAGTGCCTTGGTTCTGGTACAATGGCAGAAAGCTTACATTGCCAGCGCCGCTGGCTGACGCCGTCTCTAGCACCTGTGGTTTCCAGCAATTCCCTGCCCCAAACCCTTAAACTCCAATCCTTAAGCAAACCATTTCATGGTCAGTACTTGTTCTTCCTATCATGACCCCTAAACCCTAA